GGGGGGGGGGGGGGGCGCTAGGAAGAAGCACGGCAAGTGCAGGAAGAGTGGCGTGTGGCCTGCCCGATAAAAACAAAGACATCAGGGCCTTCGGAGCCGGCTTTTGTCCGCGGTTCATTCACAAGGGAAGTCATTGCTTTTCCAAGACGATCCAGCATTGTCTTGCAAAGTAGCGGCCATCTTTCGAAGGGTTCTGCTTTGCTCTGATGTTGGGTTGAATTGGTCTCAAGAGGAGCTTTAGTCAATTACTCGGCTCATTTTTGACCTAAATTGTGCTCGTGTTTGATCTGAACTGTCACTGTGACTGTGGAAAAAAACTGTTTGATGGTATGTTTATTTAATAATTAGATGTATATGCTTTGTGGTTTCAGACGTGTTTAGGTTATTACACAGTTAGGCTTACTGGTAATGTTTTAATTTAAACATTTAAACCTAGCAAGGGCGGACAATAACTTGCATGATTAATCCAGTCGGAAATAACAACTTTAAAAAGGTATTAGTTCCTTAAGTTGTATAGATTTAGGATCTTATGGAGATCTTTTTGCAAGAGAGATCACAAATATGAGTAGAAATAGAGGTTAGTAAAGCTTTTAAGTCACTCAGGCTGTAGCAAGGTTCCTATACAAATGAGCATCACAGTGCTGAGGTGGAAGATTATTATTATTTATGTACAGAGTAAACAGCAGTGGGCCTAATATCGATCTTTAAAGGAACGCCTATATATCAACTATTTGGGGATTTGACTTGAAACCAATGGCAACAACAGTTTCAAAACTCAGAAAGGGAGTTACGTAACAAAATGTTGCGATCAACAGTATTAAATCTATTGGACAGACCTACAAAGACGTCATCTAAAGCAACAATTATGGTGCTACGACCAGGACGGGTTGTGAGCCGACGAGTGATTCTAGGATGTTCTGACAGACAGGACGGCTTGAATATAGGTCAACAGTCGTTTAGATATTAATGTGAATAGTTTAATTCATTTACATTAATTCAATTTCTATTCAAACTGCAGAGTGCTACGGTAGGAGAGCCAGAATACACCATCTTAAAGCTACAAGGCAGTCAGACAGGCCGGGGGAATAGTGTTAATCACTCATTTATACTTTTCTGTTTTGCAAGCTGATGACTTAATGACACACAAACTCAAACCGAGCGAACGTGCGCAATAAATTCAGCGACATCCGGCGCATGAGGTGTTAACTTTCTGCCCTGCTCCTAGACATAATCCTCTTCTCACTCAGGTAGGGCTTGTTTCATTTGAGTGAATAAGAGGGCTGTGACGTTCACTACGTGCTATTTTTGACGCAGGTACCATGCCAGGGGAGAGTCACACCATTCCTGTCTCGCTAGACAATGAAGAGATCACGTTAATGTGTCCTCAAGAGCGTAAATCAAAGCGCTTTCCCTTCCCTCTCTCTTTTGACGCGCGTTTGTATACAGTCGAGCAGAAGAACACAATTCGGCTACCCAACCAATAACAAGAAGGAATCGAAAGCATGAATGAAAATAAGTGCTTGCTGGAGATGATCCTCTGGGTCGATACACCTGCCATCTATCGTGGTGCAACCTGTATGAGGGTTGACACCGATATCTGAAGAGATTAAGCTAATAAAAAGTCATGCTGAGCCAAAATCCTGCCATATTTTTTGTGTATAAAGCACATTATTGCTGTCCTATATTCTTTTCTGTTAAAATACCAGTGATATAGGGAAAGAAGTCACCTCCACCTCTTAAAAAAAACAAAAAACAACCAGTCTTATTTAAACTATAGTGTATCTGCAGTGACTTATATGTGCCTATTTTTACACAGTGCCTACAGGAATCAGAGCAACATAAGCAGTAAATGAGTGGGAGGGGGAAACAGGAATCTTAATTAGGTATCAACTGTAGTCGCCTGTGTAAATTATGAAAAAAAATTAAAAATAACCCTGATTAAAGAGGTGAAAATACATCTTTAAGCATGCAATTATATTTTATTCCAGTTTTCTCCATCTCTTGCTCTTGCAGTTAACTTTTCTTTCTATCCTAGCTCCACTTTTCTGAGTTAAAAAAAAAAGCATCTTACTTACTGCCTCCTTGCAAGTCTTTAAATAAATAAAATAAAGGGTTTCTGCAGCTCAGTAAATCACAAGTAAATGTTACTTATCATTATGAAAGAGTAGCCGGGCTGTAGTTGAATGGCACGCAAAACTTTTTTTTCTTTTTATAAAGTATATGTTCGCGATGGTAGCTTAAATGTATAGAAAAACAACAATGCATGTGAAGGTGCATCGGTATATAGAAGTAGTTGTTTTGGAGGTGGAGTGTGCAGGTTTGTGGAGGGGGGGGGAGAGAGAAAGAAGAAATCATCGTAAGTTACAACCAACACAAAAGAAACGAGGGAATCTAGCAGCGGTTCAGTAAAGCGAACCACTACTCTTCATCCACCATCCTCTTCTTCACACAGTCACCATCATCATCATCTGTGTGTGTGAAGCACAAGGCTCTGTTTTAGCTTTGGGGAAATGATAGAAAGGGAAGGGAAAAGACGGACCACGCTCTGTAAATACAATTTTGAAAATTTTTTTTAAAAAAAAAGACCCGCGGCGAATCAGTCCGCCATAAAAATAAAAAAAATAAAACATTACGGAAAAGGTTCGTAAAAATGTTAACTCCCCCTCTTAACACCAACAACACCACCACCTTACCTCCAACCCGGTACATGTTCGCTGCCATGACTGCCCCCGGTCCCTGGCTTCCTCTCCAGGTAGAGGGGTGGCTCTCTTCTCTTCTCTCGCGTTGCCGGAGCTGTGTTAGCACTGCCGCCGCTGTGTGTTGGAAAATGGTGGATTGATCAATACGAAACAGACTAGCCGAGAGACCTTAAAGAGACAGTGCACTTTATTTTTTTTTTATTTATTTTTTTATTTCCGATCCCCCCCCGGAACTTTGGCGGCAGTATTTATTTATTTTTTTTGAAGACAAGTAATTTAGTAGAGGATTAAAATACTAATATTAACGCTACTAAATTGCATTTGGTTGCCGTTAGCCGTTAGCATTTTCAAAATGTAGCCACTGTGGCTGTGCCCCGCGAGTGACGTCACTGGCTCGTCCAAAGCCCCAACGGTTGTACCGTTACTTTGGTTACTAAGTAACGTTACCTGCGGACTTAATGACCTGGAGAAGTTGGGATACTTATATATATATATTTTATTTATGTTTTAAAGCAGCCTGAGAAGCAAACAATGACATATAACACTACCCTTTGCATATATTTCCCAAAAATAAATTGACTTTGACTTTGGCTTGACTTCAGGGTGCACTCATTAAGAAATATTTGTCACAGAAGCCACATTTTGCAATCAATACTCACCCACAGACAGGTGAGATAACTTAATAATTATACAATCTGAGTAAAGTTTTCCTTATCATAGCATTTGGACAACTATGTCATGCCTTTGCCATCCTTAAGAAATAACATTAAACTTGCAGAACACTACTGAGTGGTGTACATCAGAGGGGATTTAGAAATGGGTATTACCCTGCACTACGCCACTGGGCACAATTAATCAAAATATTATCACAATAAGGCCTACAGCAAAATCCAAATTGCAAGAAGCTGCAGTTTTTGATAAAAGTCAAATGTGTGACAAACAGCATTATAATGAAGTGCTGCAGTGCTGCAGGGATGTCCTGGCCTTCACAATTTGCTCTGTAGATGTAAGAAAACGTGTTTATTTGGTACAAACCCCCAGATAATGTCACATATTCATGGATTCATTTTTTCTTTTTTAGAGAAATAACAATTTTGGATGCAAAAATGTCCCACACTAATCATGTATCAGATTGCAATATGATGCTTTTACCATAACGTTCAGCTCTAGTTTAGATTATGATTGAAAGAAATAAAGTAAATTTAGTGTGGAAATGGGCCCGGTTTGATTAAACTTACTTGATTTAGCACAGAAACTAGTTAACAACTAAGTGTCGTACAATAAAACTATCACAATATTTAAAGGTAAAACCTCAGCTGTACACCTTAGAAGAGTTTGCTAATAAAACACTTTGTGGACACGTCCTTAAGTTGGTATATATATAAAGAAATCTGGAAGTTGGTGTGCCAAAAAAATTAAGCTTCCCTGTCGTATCCCTTGAAACCAGTGCTGAGATCCCAAATTACTCAGCTCAGTGGTGTCAAGTGAGGTCCACAAACCACCAGGGGACGGCCCCATGGGGTTACTGGCAAAGAGGAACAGGCTTAGTTACTTTTAATTAATGTGTCTAAGAATGGTTACTAAACCCATAGGTTCATCCCTAAGTGCTGTGACAGTAACTGCATGAATGTTAAAGATTACATTACACATAATGTTTGGTACGTGATTGTTGGGGTGGCACACTTTCATTTAAATGTTTATGTAAGATGGCCTCTTTCATTTCATTGTATTGGTCTGTAGGCTATGTAGATGTGATTTAATTATTTTCTAATAAGTGCAACAAGATGGGATGCTCTTAAATTTAGTTTTTTTCTCATAATGAGAGTCTCTAAATTTGCTCAGTAATAAGGTCAAATCAAATATATGTCCCTGTTTAATCATTTCTTTTTATCCACATGTAATAAATGGTGTGGTAGTAATTAAACGTTTCTGATCAGATCATCATTAATCATAATAAGCTGAGAAAATATTTCCATGCTACAATTCAGGTTTATTCATCAATGCAGTGATACGAAGCTCATATTCACACATATTTTAGCTCTGTGAGGCAGAAAGTTGCACAACACAATGTCCTGCAGCGTGCAATGAGGGCAGCGCAGTGACTGATGGTATGATATTATGGGATACACAGGATTCTGGCAGCATCACAGGGAGGCGTATCAAGCTTATTACAACCACCTATGGACCTGCATGTATGTGGGCAAATAGAAAGTGGGCAGGATTTTGTAGTTTGGCATAAGCTGCCATAGAAAAATTAGATATATTTTGTACTGCAAGACAGACTAGCAGCATTGTTTAACATGTACCATAAACACAGCTACTCTCATTGGAAAATATAAAATAGGGTCGAGCATACAGAGGGGCAAGAGAGAGAGAGTGTAGTCTTTTTGGAGATAGTTGTTTGATTAGCTGCAGTTTTCATTGTGGATACAAGCGTGGAGCCTCTGTGCTGGAGGAATGCTGTGGTGAGGGCTACATCTGATCTATACCATATGGAAGCCTCAATTACTGTTTTCTAACACAGGGGACTACAGTCTGCAGTCACATGACCGCCATAAGCCAATCATGTGTACTTACAGTACGCACTCCTGCTCAAGTGTGCAGTCTCAATGTTGGATCTGTGCTGCATTGGAGGGATCCTGTATTGTGTCCCGGGGCTCTTTCGTGAAAAAAGAACGAGAGACAGATAGATGTGTTTGTGTTTATGTCCTGTGTGTGTGTACAACTATTGTCATTCAGACTGAAATATAGAAGATTTGAGAATATTTTTTCCATGATTATGTGCAAACTAAATAATGTTGAAACACTATAATGTTGTGTTATTTTGTTGTGTTGTGTATTTCTACGTATTATATATTTATTGCTCACTGCTATGTGCAACATTTCTGCATGAAACACCATTACAGCCATTATCTGTCTGAATATTGCTGCATGTTGTTTAGGACAATGCTCACTCTATTGCAGTTTATTTCATATGCCTACCTTGTTAACTGACTTTCCTTTGGAGCAATAAAAATGTACAGTATTGCAGTATATTACAGCATATACCCGCACAATGTGTGTGTTATATATATCACATAGCAACTGACACAAGTGAGCTGTCTTTTTAAGCTCTTGTAATGTTCCCCCAATAAACTGGGAAGTAAACGATGCCAATACTTAATAATATGGTCTTAATTAAAGGAAAATAGGTGGTCAACAATGTGGCCTTGTGTTTGGGAACTGTGACTACTTTCATTAGGACTGTTTGCTTACTTGGCTGCTTGCTGTTGTGCAGATGTTCTTTTTGATTCCACTTGCTCTTCTGCCAGATGTTGCTGCAGTCAGAGACACGGGCAGGCGAGCATGCAGGCAGAACGCTATACAGCACAGAGTAGTGCAGGTGTTCTCCCTGATGAATCTCAGTCTGTGGAGATGGATTGGCTCGAGACACAGAGTGTCTGCAGAAACTCCCCTCCGTTCAGTCGCAGTCCCGGAGGGTGACCTCTGATGGCCTCTCTTTCTTTTCCCTACTTTCTTCCTTCTGTCGTCGTCTTTCTTTCCTCTTTGTAGCAGGAGAGACAAAGACACAGAGGAAATCAATTAGGCCTGTTTCCTGGCAGAAACCATTCCATATCTGTAACTGTGCTTCCTCATTTGTTCTCTCACTGGGGGTTGTGCTTGGATCCAGAGACACTATGTGAGGTTCAGCAATAAAGGGACTATTGTTAGAGCAATTTCTCCTCTACATGTAAGTCTGCATAGGTGTGTGTCCGTATAAACAGTGGAAAAACGCCAGGATTATCCAATCATTTTCATTAAGGAACAATACCTGTGATTGTGTTCCCTGGTGGATGTTCAAACACTGTAAAAAGGGTGGTGCCTACACCCCTCACTGTGGTTAGTGACACTTGCCTTTTAAGCCACACCGCAGCCTTTGTTTGGTCATATCAAGCCACAACCTCCTGCTCTGACTCATGCACTAAGTATAAGGCATAGTTAATGTTAAATAAACATTACTTGCTTTGCCACAGTGCAGCAACAGCAATTCCAAGAGACCCCACACTCTTGAATCTACACACAAAACTCATCTGCACCTCCAGCTGAAGAGGCATCACCACCACATTGCAGTCTAAACAAAAGACTCATAAAAGGTGCAGTCTATCAAGTGACACAAGTATGTTTATTTTTTGATTGAATACAAGTCTTGAAACGTGACAGTTCTCTGTTGCAGACTTCATTAGTGACAAGCCATGCTTTCACAGCTCTGAAAGCTTTGGCACAAAGCAGCTCTGACTCTTTTAATTGGGAATCTCTGCTGTAGGGGATCTGTCAGACAGATTTCACAGCTAAAAATATCAGTAACTGAAAGGATACAGTGCCTCACAGGACATACAGCTTGTGTTTATTAATATCAAACTACAGGGGGAGCTATTGTCTTGCTTTTGACAAAATGGGCAGTTGATAGAAAGGGGTAGCAGCTTTGCATACAGAGGCCATGCATAGCTGGGTATAGTGCAATCCATAATCTTCAGCTCATATAAAACATATATTTAAGCTCCAGGACTTTAAAGAAACCATCAAAATGGCTTAGTGCCATTGAGTACATGGAAAACAAGATGCTCCATGTTGCACCTACCTCAGTCCACCAGCAGGGGTCATCACTCACACGTCCCTTTTCCATTGTCCTCAGTTGCTCCCTAACAAAGCAGTGATCTTGTGGAAGAGGGAAAAAAAGGGCTAGCAGTGCAACCATCCCTAACACTGGAAATGCCTCTTAAGTGAGTTATCATGAATTCTGGGACAATGGCAGAGAGCAGCATCAGGGTGGCACACAAAGATGTTGACCGTAGACCTCAAAGCATGACATAAATCACTCTTGGCTATGATGTCCTCATTATTGAGTGCAAGAAGGCTGGTTTACATTCAGGGCTGTGCGTGTTGCTTTTGGAAGTCCTTTTTCAGACTGTCATCTGTTACTGCAGACAAGGCTTGGCCAGAAACACTCAGCCATACTTTGAAGGCCACTCAAGAAACCTTGGCCCTAATCCAAAGGGATTAACCATATTGCATTTGTGGGTTATTGATACTGTGACCTTCACAGAATGAAAGCAGAATAACTATGACACTGAGAAGAAAGACTGTGTCAGGCAGTTG